ATATTTTGGTAAGAAACTCCACATATTTACAGTATTATAGCAACATTTATCAGGCTTAGCTATTAAAATAGTAAAACTGAAAAAACAAACTCCAAGAACAAAATATTACTGTTCATTTGTTTAGCATAGTTTCCTTTTATAATGCTCTGGTTATTACTCGAAGTTATGTGAAATTTGCAGATCGTAATTCCTCAGTGTTGTATACTCATACAGGGTAAAACGTGTCCTGTCACTATTCTTCCGCATAAGCCTAATATTCACCTACTATTGGCCTAGAAAATCTGCCAGGAAACTCATCATTTATTTTCCACCATTTGATGCTCTTTAGACTTTGAGTATTTACATGGAAATCCAGAGGGAAGGAGAGAATCAACAAGAATCCATCATACTAAGGAGAGCAGACATCATTGACAAACAGATACGATACTGATTATGAAAGGATGAGCTGGAGTGGAGGTGCACCTGATCCTCCTGGACTGTGAATGAGGGAGAAATTATTGGTTCAGTGATGCCAGCATGCTGACAGTACATTGGCAGCTGGCAAAGTCATATAGAGAACTGAAGTAGAACCAAGTGCTTAAAACAATAGAAAGTGTCCAGTGCAGCCAATGCCTGAGCTTTCCATTTAACATTGTTTTCTTTTTGCATTCTTCATCTACTATGTTGTCATGTTCTTCCCTGTTCTATCTCACTTGTCAACCAATCAGCTTTCGACCGATGCACGGCATCATTTACATCAAGCAGCATGCAGTTATGATTCCAGACGACTGATAGAGAACATCCTTGTTTCGGATCAACAGAAGGACACCTCTTACATATCATCACTTTGGGGTTTTGGCCCTTACATTTTGGGCAGCTCTGATTTTGAGATCTTAGCTTTCATTTCACTTCAACCAAACAGATGAAAACGTGTAGACCACATTGCAGTACAGAATGGTGGTCATCATGTCAGGATGGGCATTCTGCTGCATGCTTGTGGGTGTCTTACCAGCAATGAACTGACAGAAACACTGTCAGATGCCAGTTTTATCAGTGGGTGTTACTATACAAAGAAATGTTATTACATTCAAACACAGTATTTGACAACAGTATTTGAGACTAGTAATAATTAAATAGGAAGGGTGGAAGGGTGTTGCCAATGCCTAGTGACCTCATCACACTCAGGTTTGTAGGCTGCTGTCAACCACAATCCCGTGGCTGTGTTTTGAATTCTTCAAATTTGTTTTTCATACCTGCGTGAAGGAAAAGACTTGAAGTGATGGCGGTCATCCGTACATATGAGTCTTAGAACAAAGGAAGCCATCAAATACTGTACATTTTATTTTATGCATAACTTCAATAAACACTTCAATAAAAAAAAGAATTCTTTGAATTTGAATAGTTTGAATGGATGGTGGATATTTAGCTTGATTTGTTGTTGCTGTGCCACATGTTGCCCATTGTTTCCAATGATCTTTTTAGCCTTTTTAAAATAGTTGCAGTGGCACACCCATGTTACTTTGTTTTATAACTTTAACCCATTTGTTGAATGTGTTTCAGCATTTTCACTCATTTATTTTGTAGGTTACGTTATATAAATAATTGTACTTTCACATTGTCTGTGTTAAAAAAAAAACCATGGTGTTTCATTTCTGTGAGGCTTGGGCTTTGTCCTTTGTGTGTTTTGTCCTTAGGGGCCACCTCACACAAAGTTGTCACCCACAGCACGCCCATGCTTGTCAAAAGGCAAGTGGCAGAACAAAGAGCCATATGAAACATCAGGTGGTGACTTCTGCACTAGCTCAGGGGTTACATACGTGACCTTGGAGGAACTCTGAGATGCTTTCTTTGCTCAAAGAAAATCACTCCCAAACTGCTCTTTTCTTTTTGCCTGCACTGCTTTCCTTACTCTTTGAATCACAAAGCACAGCCTTGATTGTTGAATATTCTTTCACACACCACTGATTTCTCGCCAGTATACTCGCTGTCACACTTCTTTCTGCCTCCTTTTCTCCACTCTGTCTGTTATTTTCCACCAATCTCACCCTCTGTTTTCTTTATTGCTAGAAACATAGATTGTTTTTGAAGAAAGTCAGCTCAGATCAAAAATATGTATTTTAAAGAAATCCAAAAAAGCAGGTCACTCAAAAAAAATAGTAGAAATGAGCTTAAAATATGCTTCCAAAAAAGTAACATTTGAATTTTTGGTTTTGTCTGTTTTTAACCACTTGATTTACTTGTATTTAAAGTATATTTAAATATATGTAGGTATATTTATTGGAATGCTTGCCCATTTCAATCACTTTCCTGTCTCTTCTGATGAAATTGTTTTATTAGTTAAAGCACATTTGATAAAGGACTGTTTGCCAAGAGAGAGGTGATTAACTCAATATTAAATAGCTTTCGTAGCTGAGGGATGAAGCACAACTGAAACAACACATTATACTTTATGTAAATATATGTATGGAATAGGCTAATTCAGTTCATGTTACATTATGGAAATTTGATTGTTTTCGAAAACGTGACTGAATTTAGTTGTGGGCCCAAACTAGCGTGATTAATGTGCTCCATGAAACACCAAAATGCAAATACATAAAAATATCCCATTGCTTTCACATATGAACTACTTCAAATAAAGCGATGTGATGTAATGCAGGGATTCCTATTTCCTTCTATTCAGAGCTAGCAAAGTTAGTAAACATGAGGCAGGCAATCAATCAATTTGATTGATTTTCAGATCAAACGCTTTTTTTACACTTTGCTAATATTAGCTTACACATGTATTTTGAGTGCTACCTAATGGCACAGTCGCACGAGTCAAAACAACCTCCTTGTATTGATTTTTTTAAAATTTTATTAATACTTTTGCTTTCAGAGCTCGATTGCAAGTAGGTGTTTAAGGTTGTGTGTAACAACAGAAGGAGTAGACTGAGTAACTAAGGACACTGCTTATTCATACTGTAGCAACTTGTCAATTGTAAGACAGTTCCACCCTGAAATATATACTGCTGTATTGTACTTTGTGACTGTAACAGGAAATAATTTACAAAATTATTATTACAGTGTATTCAGTAACATTTAAAACTATCAACAGAGACCATAAATTCATCATGGTGTGAGGAATTAATTTTTTGACATAGACTTCTATCTGCTCATTAAGTCTGACTTCATCAGTCATATCTAGGACAAACTGAAGTATTTCTAAAAGACTAAAAGTTGCAGCTCTGTTATACCTTTGAACCTATGGATAAATTTATCATTGAAATATTAGGTTCAATTGTAATTATGTAGCGGCAAGTCACAATACCTCAAGGTACTTGAGAATGAAAGTTAAAGACACTACAATAATAGCTATTAGGGTAGGGATAGCTCAGTAGGTAGAGTGGTGGCCCCATGATCGGAAGGTCGGGGGTTC